GTGCATTAGCATTTTCTCGATGATAGTCACGGTGCTATTCTTCGTCTTCCTAGTCTTTCAAGGTACCAATTTTTTTAGTTTCTTAATGAAAGTTAGCTCTTTTATTCTCTTTTCGACTCTGTTAATGAATCCAGAAATTGCTACTTTGATCTTGAGATTGCAAAATTTGTTTCCTCAAGGCATGAATTTGTCTAAAGAAACAGTCCTCAAGGCATGAATTTCTCTATGGTTTTAGTTAGATTCATTGCTTTGGCTTGCCTTAAACTCTTTCTTGGATAAACAGAGTTTGTTCTGTTTCTATTGAACAGGGAAAATCAAAAGTGCCTTAAAAACAAGTCTTTCTTTGTGATGCAGGATTCTTCGCAGGCAATTCGAGATTGACTTCAGACAAATCACCTGCACCAGTTGTTTCACCTAACAACCAAATGATTTCAGTTCAGTTCTACAATGAATTTGCTCCCGTTGAGCAAACCGATCCCAGCCCGACCACCTCATTCAGGTGAGAAGAACATTCACTGTTTTGGTCCTTTTCGAACAAGAACAATTTCTATAACTGATTCTTACTATAAAATATGAATCAAAGAAGCAACTTTCTAAACAACTGCTAACATGAAACAATTCAGGTACACGAGGAAGCGAATTTCGGGTGTAGAAGAAGACTCGAGGCACGTCACGAGATGAGTTGTCTGTTTGGTTTTGACATTGACTCTCAACTGTTAGCTCTTGTGGTTCAAGTTTTGTACTCTTTCTCTTGTATATCTATCTAGTTGTATGTTCACGTGTCCTTACCTTTTAGAAACTATCTTTGTGGGAGATAAGATCTTGTAAAACGACTGCGTTTCAAATGTTTGATTGTACTAATGAACAATCCACACTACCTTGGTCTGTTCAACGTGAAAAATGATTTGAGCTATTTAATGAAGGTAAAGTGATGGAAAAGTTGTTATTGGATTTTACCATTCATCAAAGCGAATTACAACAGTGATCGGATTACATTAGAAACCCCGAGCGAATTACAATCTTACACTGATCGGATTACATCTCTTCTCCTCTCCTTATTCTCTATATCACTCCAATGATTGCCTCTTTCTCTCCGACTCCCCACACGTCTCTCTCTATCTCTTCGTGGCGGCG